CCGGAAGTGGCACTGTGGCTCAAGTGGTAGAGCGCTAGCCTTGAGCTGAAGAGCTGAGGGACAGTGCCCAGGCCCAGAGTTCAGGCCCCACGATTGGACCCCCCCCCAAAAAAAAAATAATACTTGTCATCTAGAACTACTTTGGTGCATCCATATTCTGGGAAAATAACTTTATCACCCACTTTCACACTAACTGGCTGAATCTCTCCACCCTTTCCTTTAGAGCCCAATCCCACGGCCTCTGCTATGGCTTGCAGTACTTTTCCTTGAGACTTTTCTGAAAGCATAATGCCTCCTTTGGTAACAATTTCAGCTGCACTCCTTTCGACCAACACTCAGTCAAACAGAGGAAGAAACTTCCTAAATGCTTGTCCAGCCATGACTCTGCGGTTGCTACTCAGACTCTGCTCTCACACCAATGCTGCAAGGAGAGACCCACAGTTGGGGCTAGAGGACACATGAAAAGGCCGCCCACCACGCAGGCATGCTTGCAGCAGCCTTCCTGAGCTGCTTTTGCTCAAGGCTAGCACACTACCACTTGAGCAATAACACCACTTCTGGCTTTTTCTGTTTATGTGGTACTAAGGAATCAAACCCAGGGCTTCATGTATGCTAACTAAGCAAGCACTCTACCACTAAGCTGTATTCCTAGCCTCTCCTCCTCATTTTCATTAGCATCAATTTAGTTGTACAAGTGTGTTTTGTTTTGATATGTTCAAATATACATAGATTATCATGATCATACTTCATCTGTCACTCTTCCTTCTTCTCACTCCCCCTCTTCCCATATCAGTTTCACAAGCTCAAAGCAAGCACTCTACTACTTGAGCCATAGCTCCACTTCCATCTTTCTGGTGGTTTATTAGAGATAAGAGTCCCATGGACTTTCCTTACCTGGGCTGGCTTTGAATCTTGCTCCTCAGATCTCAGCCTCCTGAGTAGCTGGTGGCATGAGCCACCAGTGCCTGGCAGTTTCACAAGCTTTATTGTCCCATTTTCACATATACACATAAGTATGTTTATTCATCTTCCTCAGTCTCTGCTCTGTTTGCTCTCACACACTGATGCCTACTCCACAGCACGTGTTATATGTTCTGTGTGTGAGTGTGTATGAGTGTGTCAGTCATGGGGCCTGAACTCTGGGCCTGGGCACTGACCCTCAGCACTTCAGCTCAGCTACCACTTGAGCCATAGCACCACTTCCAGCTTTTTCTGCTTATGTGGTACTGAGGAATCGAACCTAGGGCCTCAGGCATGCAAGGCAAGCACTCTACCACTGAGCCCCCTTCCCAGCCCCATGTTATATGTTCTCGACAAACTTTTTTTTTAGTGTGTAATAATTACTGAAAGGCATTTTACTTTTGTATTTGACACATACTCATTTGACACATATACATATTTTAGTCAGATTGACCCCTGGATTTCACCTTTGTCCTTAGAGTAAGAAGATACCAAATAGAAGGAACAACAAATAGCTGCTGTGTTCCTTCTGTGGTCTTGTCATGAATTGTAGGTATAGCAGAACATTGTTATTCTGCCAGATGGCCTAGAACCTTTCTAAATATTCAGTGAGATTTTGTTGTTGTTTTTCCACTCCTTCTAGTACTGGGGATTAAACTCAGGCCTTGTACATGCTAGGCAAAGACTCTACCACTTCAGCCATACACCAAGACTTTTGATCTCTGAGGCAGGGTCTACCTTTGCCCTGGATGGCCTCATACTCAGGTTTCCCTAGCTTCCATCCCCTGAAAAGCCATGATTACAAGACTACGTTAGAAATTTTATTCTTTTTTTAGACAGAGTCCTGACATTTGAATATTGGGTCCTTTGTAAAGCATGGACATCTTGATTCCCCATTCTTTTCCTTCAGTTGTAGAAGCTTCCAGAGCTAGCACTTGACCTCTTCCAGCCTGAGAAATTCAAGTGCTGTGATGAGAGAGAAGAGAGATGCTACAGTGTGTGCAGAGCACTCGACTTCCATGATCAACTTTGTTATAAGCATTGCCTTTCTGTGCTAAGTTGTGTGTTTCCTCCCTACAGCCATCGATCTGACATATGGAGGTATATACTGCTTCTTGTGTCAGGACTACATCTATGACAAAGACATGGAAATAATTGCCAAAGAGGAACAGCGGAAGGCTTGGAAGATGCAAGGTTGTATTCTGCCGAAATTTACCTATCTGCTTTGTCCCTTAACCCTCAGGTTCCTTCAGGTCTGTTGAGAGCAAAACTCAGTAAGAGACAGAGAAATACTAGGACATGAGTGCGAGTCAGAGGTAGTACCTGTTTGTCTGTGCTGGCAGAGTCAGTTTGATGAAAGAGATCTTCCAGTGGCTCATTACTTCCCCGAGCCCTGCATAGGAAGGCAGGTAGGGTGAAAGCTACACAGGTACTCACAGCACTGCTTTCTAGGGTGTTCCTCTTGTCCAATCCTCTAGAAGCTATGGCTGCTGTGCATGCCAACAATGACATTCTTCCACTTGAAAGCATTTTTGCATACCTGGAGCTTAGTTCCTTCCAGTACCAGCAGAGTCATGTCTTGTCCCATCTAAAGGACAGATGAAATCCAGACAGATAGTTCACTCCTGGCATTGTGGTACTCCAGAAAGCTTTTTCTCTCCTTCCAGGAGAGTAAACCATGTTCCTGACTAAATTGATGTAAAATCTCTGAACTACTAGGTGATATGAAGTCTGTGTTAGCAGAGTGACATTGCCAGGTGGAAAGCAGAACAGCCCACCATAGAGCCCTCCTGGGTGGGTCAGACCTCTGTTCTCCTGGTTGGTGTTTTGTGGCTCTACTGCCACTGTGGTCTCCTTGTTCCCTTCCCTGTCCTCATGGCTCTGTAGCCAGAGGTTCAGCAGCATAATATAGCACAGTTCTTCATTGTTTCTTGGTTTCCATGATTTTTTTAAAAAAAGTAGTTTTTAGTTCCCACAGAAGTTCACAGAGGAGCCAGGCGCTGGTGGCTCATGCCTGTAATCCTAGCTACTCAGGAGGCTGAGATCTGAGGATCGCGGTTCAAAGCCAGCCCGGGCAGGAGAAACCGTGAGACTCCTATCTCCAATAAACCACCAGAAAACCGGAAGTGGCGCTGTAGCTCAAGTGGTAGAGCGCTTGCCTTGAGCTGAAGAGCTGAGGGACAGTGCCCAAGCCCAGAGTTCAAGCCCCATGACCGACAAAAAAAAAGAAGTTCACAGAGGTCTGCAGTAACTGATGGATCAGTACCTATGCTTTCAAGTAGGAGAATAACCATTGTGCAAGGAAAGCATGGAAATCTGGACTGTTTTATTCATGCTTGCCTTGACTGTTCTGTAGTGAAAACACCCCCACTTAAAAAAATCAGCCAGGCTTCAGTGGCTCACACCTGTAATCCCAGCTGAGATCTGAGGATCAAGGTTCAAAGCCAGCCCAGGCAGGAAAGTTCATGAGACTCTTATCTCTAATAAACCACCAGAAAACTGGAAGTGGTGCTGTGGCTCAAGTGGTAGAGCACTGGCCTTGAGCTGAAGAGCTGATGGATAGTGCCCAGGCCCAGAGTTCAAGACCCACAACCAACAAAAGAAAAGAAAAAAATATTTTTGTTATTTATAAGTAGTTGTACAAAGGAATTGCCATTCACCGAAACAGTTTACACATACAGTGTATCTTGACCATTTTTTTGAGAGCAGAATTATTTGCTGATCAGAATTATATTCATGATTAATAGGTCATTTCTGGAAAATAATTTCTGACTCATATTTTCTATTCTTGTCTCCCTCAAAACTTAATACCATCCCTACTACATGTAAAGATATTATTTTTTGTGTAGAACAGTTAAACCATAGAGCTGAAAATTCCATATTAAAATAGAATTCTTCCAAAGTCATTCTGCAATCTCATCTGCTTGATGCTTACTCCCTAAAGTTTATTGACTTACGCAGAAATCTTAGGCAATGTGAAACAAATGCCTCCAAGTGAAGAGCGTATGATTAGGATGAAGGATGATGCTTATTAGCATTTGCACCAGCATTTATTGGGTATTAGTCTCCTATGGTATAAAAGCTCTTCAGTAGGTAGATTGCTGGGGACAGAACTCAGGATAGTCAAGTGCTTTCTTACTGAGCTATGCCTCAAAAATGCATTTTCTTTGTCAGTCTCATTTACAGGCAGGAAAATCCTTCATCTTGTTGCCAATTAGTTCCCATTGGAACTGAAGCTCCAATCTTTATACCCAGGGATTAGAGGCATGTGGAAAGACAGCCATTTGCATTAGTGTTGAGATGGCATTGATGAGTGGTATTGTGTTCTTTTTTTCAGGAAGTGTCTTGTTCCTGTCTCAGTATAGGAGGGTGTTAGAAAGCCCTAACATTATGGGTTATGAGTTATGAAGTAAATGATAAATAGCACATCAGTAAAGCTCTTATTTATAAATACACACCATGAGAATTTAGCTAACAGCACCTGTCCTTTATCTGCATTAGGCGCTGGAGAGAAGTTTTCAACTTGGGAACCAACCAAACGGGAGCTGGAACTGCTGAAACACAACCCCAAGAGGAGGAAGATAACCTCCAACTGCACCATAGGTGGGTGGGGGATAGTGCGCTGAGCATCGTCATTTCTGGTTAGGTGTCAGATAAACGTAAATCTGTAAGCTTCATAACACCATGATTCTATTTGAACTCTGCTTATCTTTGTGTCCTTCATAGATTTGCTTATTATTAACATTCAGGTATTGGGTACCTGCTTTCTGCTGACGCAAAAGACTGGTGCAGAGTGTCACTCCCTTGTAGGCACATGTAAAGGACACAAGCATATTCTGACCAGGTTAATCTCTAGGAAGATAAATGAAGATACCTGAGAATGAAGATGTTCACTGAGTGGCTCAAAAAAAGAGGAGTTGTACATTTTAGAACAATTTTGAAAAGCAATGGTGGGTTGTTAGAGAGGCTTCATTCTCATTGTTTTTATGGAAAATACATTTTGGATAACTCTAAGGAAACCTAAGTTGGAAGGGGACATGATGATGAACATTCCTTAGTGTTGTTCATATAAAAATTACAGCCATGATTCACACCTGCAATCCTAGCTACTCAGGAGACTTGAGATCTGAGGATTGTGGTTCAAAGTTCGCTTGTCTGGGAAAGTTCCTGAAATTCGTATCTCTAACTAATTACCAAATAAGCCAGAAGTAGAACTTCAAGTGGTACAGTGCTAGCCGTTAGCAAAAAAAAAGCTCAGGACAGCACCCAGGCCTTGAGTTCAAGACACAGACACAGACACAGACACATACACACACACACACACACACACACACACTAGAAAAAAATACTGTATCACTTCTTGAATGCAGGGTAAAGTGATTATTTAGATGTAGAAGTTGTTTTGGGGACTTGGCATTGTGCATCCATAGCTTAGCACATACGACTCTGCTCTTGGTGGCTTCCCTTGCAGGCCTGCGTGGGTTGATCAACCTGGGGAACACGTGCTTCATGAACTGCATTGTGCAGGCTCTGACCCACACACCACTCTTGCGAGACTTCTTTCTGTCAGACAGACACCGTTGTGAGATGCAGAGCCCCAGCTCCTGCCTGGTCTGTGAGATGTCCTCACTCTTCCAAGAGGTGAGCACTGCTGACTTTGGGGGTGAAATGATTCTGTCACTGCTTTTTTTTTCACCTTAAAAAAAATAAACACAGACAAAATTTTAGAACATTATCCAGTAACTATTTAATATGGGCTTATATTTTGAAGGATGTGGTTTTTCCCAAGAGGTTAGTTAGTTAGTATGCTGTTAGCATGGAGCTTGGAGACACATTACTGATTTAGGAGGAGAAGAGCTCTTGAAGGGGGCTTGGTGAGATGTTCGACTGATAGATGACATTTGTCTCCAGAAACACTGGTAGATAGTTCCACACACACATATACTGCCATGCCGCATCTCAGAAATACCTGTGGACACACACTGGCCCTTTTCCCATTTCATTGTCAAGGACAGTGGGCATCAAGCCTTCACATCGGTGGTTATTCAAAAGTTGCTCTTTATGAGCCTCCGCACTGCACCACAGGCTGTTTGCTTGGTCCACCTGTGGTTGTACTCTTTGTGTTCCTGTTTATATACAACCAAACTCTGTCCTAAAACTTCCTAATGTCTCAGGACATCTGAGACATCTGTCATAGATAGCAGGGATCTCAGACCAGATTCTCAGAACTGAAGTAGCTCAGTTGCCCCAAATCCAAAATGTTCCAATTTCAAAAATTTTTGAGCACATTACACCATGTGTACAAAGTTACAACCCTGACTTATTATATAATGGTACAGTGTACAGAAATTTTGTTTAATGAACAAAATTATGTAAGATACTACATTAAAATACCTTCAGACAGTGTATAATTGAATTTTGTGTTTAAATTTGGGTTCTACCTCCAATACCTCATTATATTTGCAAATATTCCAGAGTTGGTCGTGGGGTTTGAATTCTGGGCCTGGGTGCTGTCCCTCAGCTCTTCAGCTCAAGGCTAGTGCTCTACCACTTGAGCCACAGCGCCACTTCCGGCTTTCTGGTGGTTTATTGGAGATAAGAGTCTCACAGACTTTCTTGCCGGGGCTGGCTTTGAACCTCAATCCTCAGATGTCAGCCTCCTTAGTAGCTAGGATTACAGGCGTGAGCCACTGGCACCTAGTTCTTTTTTTTTTTTTTTTGCCAGTCCTGGGGCTTCAACTCAAGGCCTTGGCACTGTCTCTGAGCCTCTTTTGCTCAAGGCTAGTGCTCTACCACTTGAGTCACAGCGCCACACCCAGCCTTTTCTGTTTATGTGGTACTGAGCAATCAAACCCAGGGCTTCATGCATGCTAGACAAGCACTCTTAACACTAAGCCACACTCCTAGCCCCTGAGACATATCCCAAGTCTTTTGGATAATGAATGCTTAGTCTTCCATTGCATGGTCTTGTGCTGGCACAAGGAACAGGTTATGGGGCTGCTGTGTGGTCTGGATCTCTGTAGCTACCCTCAGTGCCCATGCAGAGAGGTGTTCCTGTTCTTTTGTGCAGAAATTTGGTCTTTTGTTGGATCTGCCATATACTTTTTTTTTTTTTTTTT